GCTAGCCACGTGGCGGGCCATTTTTCTTTCGTTTTTTTCATAGGAGATGACTATGGCGGGATCTTTGTCACGTTGTTTGCCGGAGGACGAGTGGGAGGAGGAGTGGGAGGAGCGGGAGGAGGGATGGGAAAAGGAGCGGGAAACGGAGGAGTGGGAGGAGGAGCGGGAGCAGGTGAGGGAGAAGGAGCGGGAGGGGAAATGCGAAGGGGCGAAGGAGCCGCGGGAGGAGGAGCTGGAGAAGGAGCAGCACGGGAAACGGGAAGGGGGCTAGGAGCGGGAGAAGGAGCACGAGGAGAGACGGGAAGGGGCGGAGGAGGCGCGGGAGGAGGGGCGGTAGAAGGAGCAAGAGGGGGAGCGGGAGGGGAAACGGGGAGGGGGTTAACGAACATGCGGGAGCCGGAGGAGGGGGTGGAGGAGGAGAAGCGGGAGGAGCACGAGGACGAGCGGGAGAAGGAGCGGCAGGAGGAATGGAGGAAAGAGCAAGGGAAGCAGCGGGAGAAGGAGAAGCAGCAGGGCGGAGAGCGGGAGCAGGAGGAGGAGGAGGAGAGGGAGGAGCAGCAGGAGAACGAGTGGGAACGGGGCTATGGCGGGATCTTTGTCACGTTGTTTGGCGGAGGAGGAGCGGGAGGGGGAGGAGGAGGAGTGCCTTTTTTCACAATCAAACATAATTGCTCTTTTTTTCAATCGCGCGCGCTTGCACCACCACGCCTCTCATCGCCGCGGCGGGCCCACTTGTTCTTCTAAAGACTCAATTAATAAAATATAAGAATTCAAAAAGTTCTTTGAGTTTGTCCCCTCGTTCAGAAACGCAGGGATCTTGGTGAGTGGTGGCTCTATAAAAGAAAAGGGGGTGAGTATTTGGCGACTCAGGCTCAAGTAGTCTTGCCGCGCTGTTTTGTTGGTAAAGCCGAGCAGGGGGTTGTGCTGCAGTGTGAGCACAGAGGAGCCCTGTTCATGTGTGCTTGCGCCAAGTGTTTGGCTCCGACTATCTTAGGCTTCTGCGGCTTGGTGTCGGGGTGCAAACCAACCAAAAAGGGGGCGACCAGCGGGTTGCATGGCTACAGGCCAAGGTGCCTCGAGTCCCTCTGGAAATGGGAGCAGATGTCGGGAGAAGGACCTATAGTGACGGCTATACTAAACTATAGCTACAGTAGGCAAGAGGCGAGGCTGAAGATAAACGTAGAAGGGGGAAAAGAAGACGAGATGAGGGCAGATCAGAGGTTGCAGTTGGCATACTGAGGCGAGGGATCGTGCTGAGAGAAGGTGCGGGCGAGACGGGGTCACATATGAAATTAAGGTGAAGGTCTCGTACCTAGAGGCAGAGACGTCCACGGATACGGCGGAGCGAGAACAGCAGCATTTGGACCGCTACTCAGAGGCAGAGAGCGACCAGAGTGACCTCCAGGTTGAGACCCAGTCCTGGCACGGACTGGATCAGATACGGAGGAATCACCCGTTAGCGGGCGTGGTGGAAGACGGCCCGGAGGCCAGTTCAGGGTCGGCAGTGAGAGAGAGAATGAGATCAAAAGAGCGCGGGGCACGCGGTGTGTGACCTTGAGGCCAACTCGACTTGGCGAAAGAGGCGGGGAGGCGGTTACGAGCACACGAGAGAGAGAGACAGGAGAGACACGGAGAGAGAGGCCCAAGAGGGGACACACTGGAAACGTGTGTGAAGAGGGGAAGGTCAACGTTGGCGTAAGAGTTGGACATACCGATGACGTCAACGTCACCCTGCAAGAGAACTTGATCATCTCCTTTGTGGAGTATGGGGCCAGTTTTTCAGTGCGTCGGGTCATTATCCATCCCTAGTGGCAGGGTCAATTGAGAGCAAGCGCGTAGGGTACGAGTGACAAGGGGGTACACCCAGAGCACGAGCGCACCGTTGGGGAGAGGGAAATGACTGTCAGTGGATGGTGTCACGCTTCGTCACGGTCTTTCTTCCGCCATGATCTCTCGTCTTCGTCTAAGTTAAGAGGCGTGTACGGCAACAGAGACAGGCCTGTATTTCATGTTGACGGCCTTCATGGAAAGATGAGCAAGGCGTGAAAAGCTCCGTGCATGCACATCGAACGAGCATCTATGTGTTTTGTGCTTCCTTCTGCTAATCACGGCTTGCATGAGGGATAGAGAAAGCTTGCAGGGAGGAAGTCCCGAGAAGGCATGATCTTGAGAGATTAGTTACGTGGCTCGAGGGAGAAGCGTTTGTAGAAGAGTGAAGAAAGAGTGAGAAGTAAGGGAGAAGAAGACGCGGTGAAGGGAAGAGACAAAAGGGTGTGTGAGTGGAAACTCCCCACCGGTGAAGTTACGGATGGTCATGCAGAGCGATAGTATACTGTGGTTGACATGTGAACAAAGTGTGTGTCAGCGGAGAGAGAGAGAGAAGGGGTGTGCCAGAAAATACGGGTCTTCGGCAGTTCTTGGCATGAAGCTCTGTGATTGACGTCATCAACTCCTTCGCGCGAATTACAGAGTTCCCTCTTTTGGTTGACCCTCTAAATAACGGGTGCCTTGCGATCAGGATCGGCTGAGTTACGAAGGCTTCGCCAAAGTTAACCCAGTGCGCTTTCTCCGTAATGCAGAGTGAGGACGACTAGCGATGCTAGCCGACTGTTTCGATCCGCTGGGGTCCCTGACGGCTTATCACTTCGGGTCCGTGTAGTGAGAATGGGGGTGGGCGACTGTGAACAAGAATTCCGGTAGACGCGCGCTCCGAACAAATTACTGAGTATGCTTTCGCTGGTCCTTGAACAACTGTTAAGCGAAGACTAAAGGTCCCCTGGGTAACATTCCAGTAGTTGCTTAGTGAGGTATTGGCGACAAGTAAGGGCAGTGATAGCGACATATCGCCGACATGGCATTGTCACCTTCCTTTACATTCTCCTTGTCACTTCTCGTAGTTTACCTGGACAGAATGGAGACCTGAATTGAGAACAGTGAGTTAGGGAGCGCTCGTACAAGAAGCCCCAGTCGGGTGCAGTGGAATACACTGTGTGACAGAAACCGTTGCAACATTAGGATCACATGATTGTGACAGGGAGGCTATGAAATAATCGATTGACAATCTGCTCTGTCGGCATGAAGGAGGATAATTGTTACATGCTGCGCCTGCACAGGAGGGCCATTTTCCAGGCCCTGCGTCGTTAAGGCTGGAAGCCTGAATTTCGGGCTCAAGGCCTGGAAATAAGGGTCTGCAGACCCCATGACGGTTCACCCCAAAAGCCTGACATCCGGGGCCCACATGCCCTGCATCGTTTCAGCCAAAAAAGGCCTGAGCCTTTTCAGCCTGAAACTGAGGGTTATTTCCGGGCCTGCAGACCCCATGACGGTTCAGCCCAAAAGCCTGACATCTGGGGC